GGAGAGGAGAGGAGAGGAGAGGAGAGGAGAGGAGAGGAGAGGAGAGGAGAGGAGAGGAGAGGAGAGGAGAGGAGAGGAGAGGAGAGGAGAGTAAGGAAGGGGAGGAGAGAGAGGTGAAGATGTAGACAGGAAGACAGGAACAGTCAAGACAGGGAGAGGAGGAGGAAGGGGAGTGAAAAGCGAACGACAGATAGAAGGAGAAGGCAGAAGGAAATGCATTCTTGTCTTACCTCAGAGAGGAGAAACGTCAGATCAAGTGCAAACGTCTGGTGGTTCCCAACAAACAGGATGGGGTTGCTACCCTGTTTTGATGATGAGCAACAGGGCAAGAAACGCAAACAGTCATAATCAAGACATGTTGATCAAGAAACGACATGTCTTCGAGTGAGAGATGGTAGGCCGGAGATTTTGATGTTGATGGAACATAAACACGTTGGATGCTACTGGTGTTGTGCAATTGTTCGATAGAATGGGAAATGAATGTGTTGTACACAGAAAAACTACACGTTGCAGATGTTGCAGGTACTGCAATGATACAGATATAGCTCATGATAGGTTTGAGGGATTGTGCATCGTATGATTACAACTGATTTGATGTCGTGATTGTAATCATCACATAGTCATGATCTCTGACCTTTTCAGGAAGTCCTCCAAGTCCTCTAACAACTCGTTCTGCAGAGAATTAAGAAGAAGAAACAGAAACAAGTAGAGGGTGTTACTTGTTGAGTTGTCGATTGAGAAGAAGACTGGAGAGAAGATGTTCCTGATTGTAGAAGACTTCTCTGTATAGCCGTGATCAATTTCAGTTTGCAGACGTAACATACTTCATAAGCTCGTGGTTTGCTCAACAACACACACCATATCAAAAACTGCTGATCATACCGCATGCGTTCGATAGATCAGATTCACGATACAACGTGTTCACAAAACAACATGTTGGCAAACACTTTGATTGACGACTTCATCACTCGACGAGTTGTTACCGATTGCATTCTTGATCTGTTCGTCTGTGGGCATCTTGAAATCGGTCACAACATCTTTCCTGCACCTTGGATCACATTGATTCCTGGTTGTGTTGTAAACAAGGAGCAAAACCTGAGCGATGGCGGGCAGAAAGAAGATTTCTCGATGATCTTTGTGATGTTTGTCCTCTCGTCTAATATGAGATGCCTGATTGAAGAGAAATGGGCGAAAAAAAAAAGATGTTAAGGTTGCGAAGAAAGAAAGGAGAAGAAAATGAGTGAATGAAACAAAAAGCGAACACTTTGAGACAAGAGGAGAGAGTAGAAGTCAAAATGTAAGGATCATACACAGCGTGAAAAGCAAGAGACTGGGAGAAATTTTAAAAGGAATATCTTTCTCCCTCGTTCTAAGACAATGTTGGAGAAAAGGAGAGGAGAACTCAAAGGAGTCGGGGGAGTACGAAGTTGGTGATGATGAACAAGTGAAGCTAGTTGACTAACATCATCATAACCACCAGCGCTATCATCATCATCATCATTATCTCAATCATCATCATCATTATCTCAATCATCATCATCATCATTATCTCAATCATCATCATCATCATCATCATCATCATCATCATCATCATCATCATCATCATCATCATCATCATCATCATCGATCATCATCATCATCATCATCATCATCATCATCATCATCATCATCATCATCATCATGCAGTGGGAAGCATTTGAAACTTAGTTGTGATGGTGGAGAAAGAAGTAAATAAAGTTGTGATGGGATGGTGTTAATCTTATATCACCCGGCGTTTCGTATCACTTTGACTTCACAAGATGGAATTTCTTTAGCAAGTCGATCCGCCTGCATTGATTATGAACGAGCGCTGAAGGATGGGGAAGAGGAAGGAAATAAAACAAGCAGGCGGGGAAGTAGAGAGAGGGAGGAGGAGGAGGAGGAGGAGGAGGAGGAGGAGGAGGAGGAGGACGACGACGGCGAGAGAGGAATGGTAAGGAGGACATATATCACCTCTTCTCGGCTAGGCAGAACATTATCGTTAGATCCGACCAGCACGATAACGTCGCACTTCAAGTCCTTCAACTTGTTGCTAATCCTTTCAGACCCTGATTCTTCGTCAGTGCTGCTGCTGCTGCTGCTGCTGCTGCTGCTGCTGCTGCTGCTGCTCCTCCTCCTCCTCCTCCTCCTCCTCCTCTTTCCTCCTCGCATTCTCTCTGTTATTCTTAAAATGATTGAGGAAGATTTTGGTTCTCTGATCGCTTTTCCCTCGCTCCCTCGCTCCCTCTCTTCCGCATCCCTTCTCTCCGTCTTCTCCTCTCCCTCTTTCTCTTGCCTTGCTCCAGGTAAAACTTCAGTCTGTGCCGCACAGTGTCTTCGGGGAGGATGGAAAGAAGCGAGTCGAGAGCCCAGGAAGAGTCCTGTAGGTAAGATGAGTGAGGTGAAGAGGGGGAAGTAGAAAGAGAAACGGGAAAGAGAGAGCGGAAAGTGAAGGATCAGTCAGAGGACGAACAAGGAGGAGGATAAACGATGGAGTTGAGCAGAAGAAGAAGTCGATGCAGGGTAGTGAAGAAAAGGTTATAGAAGCGAAGCAAGCAAGAGCAAGGGAGACAAGCAGGGGAAGGGGGGCAGCAAGAGTAGAACAGCAGCCAGTGAAGCGGTAGCAGGAAGAGGAAGAAGAAGAGGAAGAGGAAGAGGAAGAAGAAGAGGAAGAGGAAGAGGAAGAGGAAGAGGAAGAGGAAGAGGAAGAGGAAGAGGAAGAGGAAGAGGAAGAAGAAGAAGAAGAGGAAGAGGAGCAAAAGAGGAGGAGAACAAGCGCGGGGAGGGGAGGGGGGGAGAGGGATTTCTTGAGTTTCACCTTCACCAGGTCGGCGATTCCTCCTGCAACGTCACCTCTCAGCAGGGACTGCGACAGCGTCTGCAGTCTGTTCCTAGTCCCCTCCAGCAGGTCCCCAGCCGTCTTCATATCCAGCGCCCTAGTAAGGAGCAAGGAGGAGCCGAGGGAGGCATAGGAGAGGCTCCCGAGCGTCTTGTTGAGCAGAGAAGAGCTTCTCAGCTCACCCAGCAGGCCGTCGCGGAGAGGAGGGACGAGCTGGGAAAGCTGGAGGTCCTTGAACGGGAGAGCTGCCGGCAGCTCGGTGATCAGCTGGCTGGTGAGAGGCCAGTCGGAGCGGAGGAAGGAGGAGGCGGGGTTTGCGAGGACAAGCCCCGCTACTGCTCCTTGTTCTTCCTCCTCTAGCTGCAGCGCGACAGCAAGGGCAAGAAGGCCTCCGAACGACTCCCCGAGGAGGAAGACACCAGCGTCCTTCTCCCTCCTCCTCCTCCTGCTCTCCCTCCAGCCCCTGACGTAGGAGCAGACGAATCGAACCAGCTCGTCAAAGTTTGACCTGTCTTGCGACAGGTACTGCATTCTGCGAACCACGTATGTCCTCCCGAGGTCCTCGAACTGCGACTGAGCGCTGACTCCGGTCCCATCGAACCCTGGGAGGAAGAGGAAGAGCGGCTTGCTCGCTCCATCCGCTTCCTCCTCCTGCTCCTCCTGCTCCCACTCTGCCGAGTCGCATGCAACACCGCGGAGAGGGTCGTCGAAGAAGAGGAGGCGGCCTCGTGTTTTCTCCACCTCCCTCAGCTTCAAGAGACTCTCAAACGGCTGCAGCATCGACGACCGATCCTGCATGGTGACCTCTGACCTCCTAGCAGCCAGGGGAGCGCAGGAGAGCGTAGGGAGGGAGGGAGAGGAGGGAGGGAGAGTGGGAGCATGGAAGGACGAGGAATGCTTGCAATGTCTTGTCTTGCAGTACAATCTGGCCCTGTGACTACACACAAAGTCAACAACTGGAGTTAGTGATGGAGGCAGGAAGAGATTGATCTTGAGGGGGGATGGAGAAAAGGAAGCGATACGCTGGCATGCTGTCATGAACATGCAGCGACAGCAGCGGCAGCGGCAGCGGCAGCGGCAGCGACAGCAGCAGCAGCATACGAAGAAGGAGAAGAGGAGGAGGAGGAGGAGGAGGAGGAGGAGGAGGAGGAGGAGGAGAGAGCGTGTCGAGCGCACCTGAGGAGAGGGGAGTTGAAGGAAGAGACGAGGGTTAATGAGGAGAGGAGGAGCAAGATCCTTCTCGACATGTTCAGTCTGGGCTGCAGTCATACATCAGTAAATTGTTGTCAGGACAGGAAACACAACATGCAGTGCGGTGTTTTCATTGGAACTAGCTCGTGACAACACAAATTAGAGTGAATCCAAACAAATCAACCTAAAGCTCCGTCACCATCATACCTCTCCACGGCGCCATCTTTCATCCACTCCCTCCATTCACCATAATGAAACGATATTCTTGTCATGAACTGATTATTTATCTTCCTCAAACCATCGTTTCACATCTCGAATCTCAGCTTCCTTATTCCGAATCTCAGATCTTTGTTCTGAAGCCCAACCAGTTTCTTGATCCTGTTCCCTGGCCTCGTGTCAACCATAATGCCCGATGTATCTCAGTCTCATCCCCTTCTGCTCCTGCCACGAATATTCATAAGTTCTGCTCCTGCTCCTGCTCCTGCTCCTCCTCCTGCTCCTCCTGCTCCTGCTCCTGCTCCTGCTCCTCCTCCTCCTCCTACTCCTCCTCCCCTCGCTTTTTCTCCTTGCTGAATTCTTTCCTTATGTGTTATTCACAACCTATCTCACCCTGAAACATCTTCATCACCTTATACCCCCATTTTATAGCCTTCATTGACACTTATTTAGTGGGTACTATAGTACCCCCACCCACTGTAAGCTCGATGAGTCCCATCGAGTCAGCAAACCGGTTTAAATCGCAAGATGACCGTAAAAGATAAAAAAAATAGAATAAAAAGAATATTGAGGGACCCAACCAAGACGGAAATGTTGATGGGGTGCTAGGACAGCAGGGAGAGTGAGAGCGAGAGCGAGAGCGAGAGCAAGCTGAGGAGAGTGTGGACGAGGACAAGCACTAGGAAGACGAGAAGTAGACGGAAAGCCAAGGGAAGGGCGGGGAGAGGAAGGAAGGACGGAAGCAGAGGAAGCAGGAGCAAGTACACGAACAGGGAAAACAGATCAACGGGAGCTGAAGAGGGGAGGAGCTTTACATCACTATCAGCTGAGACAGCATCTATGTTGGTGGCAAGAGCAAACTGATACTGAGGAGCTGAATCAAAGTCAAGAAATCATCAGCCATGCGAGAGAGTCAGCAGCCACAGGACAAGGACCCATTTGATGGTTTGAGAATCCCTTTCTCCTTCCTCTCCAGGTTCTTCCTCCTACCCTCTTCGATCAGACTTCCTGCCTCCTCCTCGAGTTCGCTCTCACCCTTCGCCGTTTGTCCTTGTCGTCCCTCGACTTTAGCTCTTCTTCCCCCCAACCCCGTCCTATTTCGCATGATCCTACTCATCCTAGTCATGCTACTTCCTCCCATGCTGCTGCTGCTCCTGCTGCTCATGCGCCTGCTGCTGCTGCTGCTCCTGCTGCTGCTCCTGCTGCTGCTCCTGCTGCTGCTGCTGCTCTTGCTCCTGCTCCTGCTCCTGCTCCTGCTCCTGCTCCTGCTCCTGCTCCTGCCCCCCTCACAGTACCGCAGGAGGTACCCTTGGCTGTGGCTGGGGTGGGTTGTGTACGTGTGTGGCTGCCTGCCCCTCAAGCTCGCCGAGTCTCCGGGCCTGACGTTCTTCCTGGGGCTCTACACTGAAAGGCTAGTGGTGGACCTTGAGGT